GAGAGAGAGAGAGAGAGAGAGAGAGAGAGAGAGAGAGAGGGAGGGGGAGACCAGGGAGAGGGAGAAGGTTTGGCGGGGGGTGGGGGGTAGCACAACAAAGGCCAGCCAAAGAGGTACAGGGGAACAAGGATCCGGGCCGGTTCCTTAAGACTCCGAGCTCCGGCGAGTAGGCGGGGGGAAAAGGTTGCAAGGAGAGGCGGCCGAAGGAGGGGAGGCGCCGGCCGGTTCTGGAAGAAGAAGTTTCTCCCTGCAGAGACGCTCCGATCCTGCCTCCTTTGTTATGAAGCGCCGCGAATAACCGTCCGAGGGCCGCCGTCGCCGATCTTCCTGCTGTTGCTGCCGCCGCCGCCGCCGCCGCCGCCGGTCAGTTGAAGTCGATCCCGGCGCCGGTCCCCTCGGCGGAGTTTGGTGCCGGGGGGGTGGGGAGCGCTCCCCTTCCGGAGAAGCGCAGCCCGGCGCGGGACACCTTTGCTCCTGACTGGCTCCCCAGCTTCCTTGGAGGCTCCTCGCCGCTGGCTGGCTGGCTTGGTTTGGCTGGGCGGCCGGCAGGCAGGCAGGGGGCTCCTGCTGTTACTGCTGCTGCCGCCGCCGCTTGGACACCGGCCGGGCGGGGGAAAGGGGAGGCAGCGGCCGTCGGACTTCTTCGCCCCTCGCGGGCCTTGCATGAGCTCCGGTCGCTTCTAAAAGCGCCCGTCCCGGGTTGCTGGCCGAGCCTCGCCGCTGCGCGCCCTTCTCCCCGCCGCAAGGCAAAAACAAAAAACCGCTTGAATGTACAACATGATGGAAAGCGAGCTGAAGCCTCCCGCCCCCCAGGCGACTCCGGGGGGAGGCACGGGGGGGAACAGCAACGCCGGGGGGGCCAACAGCCAGAAGAACAGCCCCGACCGGGTCAAGAGACCCATGAACGCTTTCATGGTCTGGTCCCGAGGCCAACGGAGGAAGATGGCCCAGGAGAACCCCAAGATGCACAACTCGGAGATCAGCAAGCGCCTGGGGGCCGAGTGGAAACTTTTATCCGAGGCGGAGAAGAGACCCTTCATCGACGAGGCCAAGCGGCTGCGCGCCTTGCACATGAAGGAACACCCGGATTATAAATACAGGCCCCGGCGGAAAACCAAGACTTTGATGAAGAAGGATAAGTACACGCTTCCCGGCGGGCTGCTGGCCCCGGGCTCCAACTCCATGGGCACGGGAGTCGGCGTGGGGGCTCCGCTGGGTGCGGCCGGCGTCAACCAGCGGATGGACAGCTACGCGCACATGAACGGCTGGACCAACGGCGGCTACGGCATGATGCAGGAGCAGCTCGGCTACCCGCAGCACCCGGGGCTCAATGCCCACAACGCGGCCGCCGCCGCCGCCGCCGCCGCCCAGATGCAGCCCATGCACCGTTACGACGTCAGCGCCCTGCAGTACAACTCCATGGCCGGCTCGCAGACGTACATGAACGGCTCGCCCACCTACAGCACCATGTCCTACACGCAGCAAGCCACCCCGGGCATGGGGCTGAGCTCCATGGGCTCGGGGGTCAAGACGGAGTCCAGCTCCAGCCCGCCCGTGGTCACGTCCTCTTCCCACTCCAGAGCCCCCTGTCAAGGCGGAGACCTCCGGGATATGATCAGCATGTACCTGCCCGGAGCCGACGTCGCGGAGCCGGCCGCCCCCAGCAGACTGCACATGTCGCAGCATTACCAGAACGCACCTGTGCCAGGAGCGGCGATAAACGGCACGCTGCCTCTGTCCCACATGTAAGACCCAGGGGGCGGCGCGGGAGGGGGGCTCTGCAGGAAGGAGAGCGAGAAAAAACCCCAACCAAGCAAGACAAACTTTTCTTAGCGATGTTNCAGCCTTCCTTCCTTCTTTCTTTCTTTCTTTCTTTCTTTCTTTCTTTCTTTCTTTCTTTCTTTCTTTCTTTCTTTCTTTCTTTCTTTCTTTCCTTCCTTCCTTCCTCCCTCCCTCCCTCCCTTCCCACCTAATCACACGAACAGCTGACATTCCTAAATTCCCTTCCCTTGAAAATCAGGTATATTGAAATCAACTTAATTGTAGTGAAAATATGAAGGGTCAGGCTGAAAATTAGTGTAATAATTTAAAATGAAGTAAGTTGATCCTCCAGGCCCTGATTTAACAGGTGGCTTAATGTGATCGCTTGGTTCCTCATTGTTCTTTAGAAGCCATCTCTTAATCATGCTTTCAGAAGCCAAAACAGATTGACCCTGCCGATTGGTAGGAGAAATTCCTTTGAAAGTTATTCTTTACATCCCTTGCTTGTATTTGCTTTGACTTGTTTGGGTTTGAGCCAAATCAGAATTCTGCATCTCAATTGTTTGGAAGTTAGTTTTCGAAGTAAGAAAGTGGTGTGTATGATTAGATGGAGAAGCTACTGTAATTTTGGTCTGGCATTCTTAATATAAAGAATTATATAGCGTATAATTGTATTAAGAATTCTTAATATAAATAAAGAATTCTCTCTCTCTCTCTCTCTCTTTCTTTCTTTCTTCCCCTTCTCTCGCTCTCTCTCTCTTTCTTTCTTTTTCTTTCTCCTTTTTTTATTGAAAATTAAAAAAACTTTTACAAATATTTACCTCCCCTCCCCCACCCCACCCCGCCCAAACCCAACCCTCCCAACCTCCACACACACACACACACACACACACACACACTGCTTCCCAGAGCAAATACGGGGTATAAATCTTTAACAAGCATATTCTACGATAAACTAAAAGAAAGTTAGTATCATCTTTCATTTGTGCTTTAACTCCTCTTTTGTTAGGTTCCTTCTCCTTCTTAATAGCAACAAAGGAATACTAAGGCATAATAATAACTCCAGAACTATTTGTAAAGTGTGATCTGCATTCCTTCAGCAGTTTGAAACATTGCAAAACAGAGAATTCTGAATTATTGGGCAGATTTAATTTTGGTTAAGAAATACTACCACCTCTTCCCTTCAGAAGTAATAACACAAACACACAGACACAGACACACACACACGCACACACACACACACATGTTATTCTATGTATGTGTGTGTAATGTGAATGCTGTGTATTCATTTTGTTCTAGCTCTTTTAGTCACAAATAGCTACGTTCAGCCATTCTTTGAAGTGTTTGGAGGAGAGGGGGAGAGAGAGGGGTTAATTACCAATATACAGGGGAAAAAATGTTGCAATTTCCTTCAAATCATTTCTGGAAAAAGAAATATTTATTAATACAGTAGAATCCCATATTTTCAACATATAGACTGTACCGAAAGCCAGGCCCCATAAGCCAGTCACAGTACATTTTATTAATTGTATTACTTCCCCCCCCCCAGAAAGTATTACTGCACTAAGCAATGTTCAAAGACCATATGTTGTCTGAGTAAGGGTTTAGAAAAAAATAGTAGCCAATTAAAACTTTTAAGGTAATGTATGTACTACATTTTCTGTTGGGCTTGGTTTATGGTGCTCCCTTGATTTATAGTATAAACTGGAAAACTCAATATATTATGTGAATCATGTCACGACAAGAGGTAATATAACAGATCAGTGATCTAGGTTTATTAATAATACAGCTGCAAAGCATTCCGTACCGGTATATTTGGCTCATACAATATTAATAAAACTGACATTACTAATAATGTTGCCTATCATTTTCATCGTATTTGATCTGCTCGTCTTTATTATGATTAACCCAGATTAGCCTCTGGAGATATCTTTATTTGTTCACTCGGTTTCTAAAGTGTCAGGATTAGAGACAACATGACACTCCATTACAGTTTTAAGGAAGGCCAACTGAGAGATATTTCTAAGAGTTGTCCCAATCCATTTTAATCACAGAAAAACAAGGGTTCCCCCCCCCCCCGCCTTGGCATCTGCTACCCACTCCAATAGCACTTTTTCCCTTATACAGTAGATCTGCTTTTCTTTTCAATACAACTCTCAATAGTCCCAGAACTACCCCCCAAAAATAAAATAATACTTTTAGGAACAATGTGTTGAGAATTGTAATTAAGATGTGGGTATATCAGTCCTTCAAAGTTGCTAAGGGTTAGCCAGTGGATATTTGTGAGTCTCACTAATATTAGTTCTCTTTCATTTTCTCCTTCTTCTGTTTCTTATTAGTTAATGATTGCTTGTTAATATCCTATGACTATCACTAAGTGTTGTATCTTATGATTCTTGATGAATGTATTCTATTTTATTTTTCTTTATGTACACGGAGAGCAAATGCACCAAAGACAAATTCCTTGTGTGCCCGATCACACTTGGCCAATAAAGAATTCTATTCTATTTCTCCTCCTTCTTCTCCCTTCATCCATCCTCCTTCTCCGTCTCCTCCTCCTCCTTTCTTCATCTCCTCCTCCTCCTCCTCATTAGGAATTACAAAAACTTTCCCCTTCCTTCCCTAAATTGTTTGCATGAAACTGCGTTATGAGAGTAAGTCAATATTTCAGACTTGTTCTCATAATATTTCAATATTTCAGAGAGAGATATACTAATGCATAAACACACACATAGGTACAAAGTGTAGTCCCTATTGTCAAATGTGATATAATATATATCATTGAGATAATATACATACATGCATACATGCATGCATACATGCATACATGTATACATACATACATACATATTCCACAACTCATTTTTTCAAGTTAGAACATGCAGTTCGGCGACGGCGATAGTGGTGCTTGGGACGATCACAATAATAATAACAACAACAACAACAACAACAACACTATTACTAACTAATAATAGTTTTGTGCAGCTCTTCCTCCACAAAGGCCTTGTGAGTGGTTAAACAGACTTTCTCCCCCCCCTCACCTCAGCCCAATACTGGTGGTCCTTCAAAGGCTGCTAATTAACAATGCTGAGAAATTCCTTCCTAAGAAGGACATTCTCTAAGTGTCCGCTGGTTCCCCGCCGTTCGGCTTCATTTCCATAAGAAGATTAACAGGCCCGGAGAACACACTCAAATGCAGATGCAGAAAAGAAGGGTTTTTAACGAGCATCATAATAGTAAGTTGCTTGGCTAGTTCTCGCCTAATTGGTGCGAGTTAAACCTCAGTTTCCACCAAAGGGAGAAAGAAAGAGAAAAAANGAGAGAGAACGCGCGGCCCAGCAACGCATACCCACACACGCAGACCCAATTTTCTCAGGAAAATCGGAAAACCGCGTTTGTCTGGAGGATTTTATTTCATATTAGCTTTCCTCCTTCCCCCCCAGAAGGAGAATATCTGCAAGCTTTGAGCGATCTCCTTATTTTCGTGTTTTTCTGTTTTTAAATCGGCCTTTCGTCCCCGCCACCTTTAAAGAAATGTTGGGGGGAAAACGCGTGTCTTCCTCTGAGGGGTTCGGGTTAGTTCGGAAGGGGAGTCATTCGAACCTATCACCCTTGGCAACTAAGGAAGAAGCGCGTTCCTTGTGTTTCCTTCTGATACATTTTACTTTACAGCTGTGCGTGCCCCCCCCCAATGGATTCCCCCTCCCTCCACCCGCAACCCAAGGAAGAAAGTTGGCCAACAGGTGGGACGGTGGTTGGGTTCCCATTCGGGCGCTTAGAAGTTTGAAAGGACATCGATATTTTTCTTGTAGTTGATATTTACTTAAAAACTTTAAACAAAACTTTCCAAAGGATACCCAAAGATGCATTTTCCAAAAGGCCGCTGGACCAAAACTTTTTTGAGGGTTGGAGGGAAAACATCTTTGGGATAACCATGACCTGGATGGTTGAGAATAGACATTTTTCCATAGAAGTAGAGTTTTTGACAGTTGTCTCAAGGACTTCAAACATTTTGCGTGTCTTTAGGAGACCAAAGACGATTCTTTCTCGATTCCTGGCAAGGGAATAGGCGTCAAATCGACCCCAGTTAAATCTCTCTTCCTCTCTCCCCTGCCCAATTTTTTTTTAAACGGACCTGGACTATTTCTTCTTAGCCAAAAGCACAGCTGCGTACTGCCGGACATTATCAGATACAGAAATAAAAAGAAGTCGGTACGAGAGATAGTAGCGATGTTTTTTTTAGCGTTAGGCAAAGTTGAGGGCATGTTAGGAAGGAACTGTCAGAGTAAGGAGAAGGGCTAGCTTCTCTCTTTAAAAGCTTAGCCCGGATCCTCCATCTCAGGAGAAGTTTCCAACGTTTTAAGCTCTTTCTCTGCATTCTCCCCAGTTAATTTGCTGTGTGGATTTCCCCCACCCTATTTAATTATGACAAGCCCACCCACTTTTGGTAGCAATTCCTATACTTCTTTTCTAAAAATAACCGTCGACTTACAACAAGGCTCCCCCAGTTAATCTTGCAGCGTTCGTTCAGCGGCGATGGCGCAGGCCTTCTCTCTCTTTCCGTCGAGGGGGAAAAAAAAACTCACGTGTGAAGGCGGCCTTTTATAGTCAAACCTTGGGACCTCTCTATGCGGCCGTTGCTAAAGGCAAAAGAGCACGTCGGGTACTTCAAACCCCCTACCATTACCCCGGAGGGATTTTCGTTGTAACAGAAACAGCCTCTGCGGAGGGGAACGACCTGTGCAGCCTTTGCAACAGGCGGTGTGTGGCTACAACTGCTTTTTTTATGGTGTATTTAACATATATTTATAAGGTATTTGCGAATGCAAGGTGGGCCCATTAAAAGAAGTGAGAATTTTGCCACTGCCTTCAAGTGACATGTTAATATAAGCAATCCATTAATAACAACCCACACCCCATTAGGGAGAATGGATGTAGTTAGCAGGCTGCCTCTCTTCTCCGCTTCCCCGAAAGAGGCTTTGCTTACCCGACGTCCTTAAACCAGGTAAGTTGAAAGACCGGGCGGCTACTTGTATGCTACATGTGTGGTTAGTTTTTTAACACTGATTAA